CTGCTGTGTGTGCGTAGTTTTAAAAATTTGTCCATTTCTAATGAAGCCGTTGACCAATACGGTGTAGGTGAACTTGGTGGAACACAACTGACTGACTGGCCAGATAAGTTAAATGGGTAGCGGGGTAGGTAAACGCGCAGTTTTTGAATGAACCAATTGTTCGGCGATGTTGACGGGCATGCTGTGAGAAGGAGGATGGCATATCTGCGTATGTGGGGAGAGAGTTGATGGACATTAATCAACACCACTCAATACTTCTTACTCCTATTCAAGTCTCAGGCATTGACTTTTGTTCACTGATCTATCACGCATTTAATGCTTAATTACGCATCGCATTCACGTACTTACAAAAACATGCCGGCATTTTGTGCTATCACATTGCCCTTACATCGTTGGTTTACGGGCATTATAGGAGAACTGGACAGTGTTTGTGATGTAAAACCTACAAGCCTGTTACTTTTGAAATTCTGTTCGTGATAGGACGATTGCAAGTAAATAACTTACAATGCATTTTAATTTAGTAAAGCCTTTTTCCACAGATAAACGCATATTTATGGAAGTGGATTTAATTAAAATGATTAAAAAAATTGCCATAAGTTTGTTCAAATGACCAGCATAACCTAGAAAGCCGTGGAATCATGGCTGTGACGAATTTCTTTCCTGAATTAAAACCTAGTCAGGTATTTCGGTTACCGTGCTAATTCCCATCTTAGCTGAAATCAAACCTTTATTAGTATCAGACATTGAACGAAGCTGTGGATTTACTTACACTGGCTGCAAAAATCGGAGGCCCACGTCAAACGATTGGCAAAAAATTTTAGTGACTTTGGAAGGATCAGTAAACAAGAGGAATCGACAAGAGAATGAAGCAGAGAAACTTGAAGTGGACATCAACAGAAATGGCTGAATCTAGTGGGCCTGAGATAGGGTGACAGACCTCCTGTACGGTTCCGATCTTCCCTCTTTGAACGATCATGTCATAGACAGAAAATGGATTAGTCAAAAATTTATGTCATCATGGGAATAGGGTTCAAAAGGTCAGAAGCATGGCCTTCAAAGGTAAAATCCGAGCACACATCTCGAGGATATTACGTTTTCACATTTGCGGATGCCTACTTCTTCTAGTTGCAGTCATTGCAGTTACTTGTGGGACAAAAAATTTTAGAACACATCGACACATATTTGGAATATTACAAATACCTTCGACATGGCAAATTTTACTTTTACCATGGAACATTGGGCAAGATAAAGCATTCGTTTTCCATGTTAAGAAGCCTGTATTGGAGTACTTTAAACAGCAGACCAACAAACTAACTACTAAACATTCTGGAACCAGAAGATTCCACCGATAATTCAAGCAGGATTGGTTTGTGGATGGAATACGCTGTGGTGGGTAAAGATTGGGTAGAGTCGCTGCGTGGTGGAGCTGGGTCCTTGAAAAAGCACGCGGGGATGTCACATGTACTGCCAGTGAATGACTGACACAAACAGCGTCGCCACGCGATCATGCACACAGCTCATGACTCCGTTGCCGCCAATGTAAACAAGGCAGAACGGATCATGCGCTGCGGTTCCCCTCACCCCTCACTTAACCCCCCCCACCCTCTCTCTCTCCTTGTGAGGTGTACACTTGTGTGTATATGTGGTTTTCATGCCAATATTCGGGCGTGTACTTTAATCTAATTTTAAAAGAATATCTCTCTGGATGATACAGGTGTGTGGCCTCGATTGTCACTAGTCATCGGTTCTTTCGTGATGACCAAATGTCACTTAAAAATCTGCGGTGTGTAAACAGTGACTTGGTCCTACCACCAGGTAGGCAACGAATAAGATCCTTGACACACGAGCGTACTGAAAAGGTTTGTTACTTATGAAAGTGCTGGTGCTTGATTTTAAATCCTTGTAGTTGTGCCAGAAGCGTTGACGGCTTAAGGATATGGTGAAGTTAATTATTACGATGGTTAAGTGTGTCTTTAAGGTAAATAATTACTGTACAAAAGTATCCAATTGACGGCTACAGCATGCTACAATATTGTGTCAACAGTTTTGTTAATCGTGCACCAATGGGATTAGCAAGCATGTGAGTTTTACCCTTTTTACAGAAACCTAGCGACTTTTGCTAAGCAAGAAATTCCTAAATTCCATGCCAGAAAAACGGTATTTTTGATGATTAGACAGGTTTGAGCACCAATACAGGCACTTTTTGAGAACAATAGCTGCGCCAGTCACTTCACAACCCTGTATGATATCAAAATGAATGATCACGTTTGTGTGCACACCAAAGGCAATGCCTAAATCAACAACCAGAATTGTAATCGTCATCGTTTTCACGTTGTCGTAGTTTTGTTATTAATGTTCTCATTAAAAAGAAGAATGCTTTGTGAAAATAACTTTTTCCATCAATGTGTGTTTAAGCCCGGATTTGAGGATGACATTTGATGGTTGGTTCACGAAATCCCAGTCAATCAAAACTATCTGTCAGTTCAATTTCAATGCTTAACAATGCCCTGTTTTACTGTAGCTTATACGAGTATAATTGAAAATCTGACTTAAAAAAAGATAGCCTGATCGGAGTTCACATTTTCTAACAAAACATTTCAGGTTATGCATTTGTGTGTGCAAAAGGTCAATTTTTTCTGGAATCAAAGTTCGCTTAAATACTTTTAGTAGTATTTTATGGTACTTTGATTGGTGCAGTTCCTGCCTCATTCTTATGAAAATTTATGCCTTTTCCTTCATCAGATTAGACTTTGTTCCTGCAGGGAAAATAAAATGGCTGTGATTGGAAATGTAGCCACAAAGACTGTTAGATCTGTCTCGTAAATATGCCAAGTTTTTCCTCTAGGGTTTTCTCTCGTGTGTTACACTTTAATGTGGGGGGTAAATATTTAAATTCAATGTCTCAGAGACGACATTACAACCTGTCGCCACAGTGCAAACTATTTTCTTACCGAATGAAATAAAACTCAGTAAATGCACTGGACCGGCATTGTTACAATGCATAAGCGAAGAAACGGGTGCCAAATCATCACTACCACGAACAAAAACTATTTGTGTTTGGCATCATAGCCTCAAATGAGGTATTTTTGTACGACTAAACACCCTGAAGATGTCCACACCCACTAATTTTGACATAAAAGCTTTAGTATGTCAAGTTCGTTAAGGCCGGACAATTACAAAAACCCACAGAGTCCGCTCTCAGTCTGATGATTAATAACCTCGCCTAGGTCAGCCGTCTGATTATGAGGGATTTGGCATTTCAAATTCAAAAAAATCAAAAACTTTAACAACAAAATTGAAACAAACTGTTTGCTCGAATCTCCCCCAGAACTATGGCAAGATGCGATTTGGGTGGCATAAGTTAGATTCGATAGAAATTCGTTGTAAAAGGGATTGGTTTCAATTATTAATCAGGGCTTTTTAATTCAAGATTCCGCTTCGAAAGTAAGCGTTTTTTAATATTTCTTCAACGAGATTTTAAACAGATTGAAATACTTTTCCAAGTTGCCTAAATCATGGCATGTGCAACGTCTGAGGGTTATTTAATTGGCTAAATTTGGCCATACCGCCCTGGACTGTGAGGCATTATTGCACCTGCGAGTCCAGAATCCTTTCCCATGAAGCAGCACATCTCTTAGCAACTCAAGTAGACTTTTGTCGACCAAGAGTTACCCCTTGTACTATTAAAATGACCATGCTTTGTTATTACACTTACCTTTAAAGATTCGTTTCTCAGTGAAAACAACTTTCCCTCAAACGTACATCCGAAGTGAACATGGAGAAAGGACAATAAATGTGAAACTTCGAGTTAAGCCGCATAAAAAGCAGTTTTAGTTAAATAAAATTTAATGCAAGCATCATCACGCTATACGCTTCGTCTTAGAAGACAGTGTCCATTTATTTCACGTCTGTTAATTGAAGCTGACTAGATTTCCCGTACATTTCGTTCCTAAGGCCTCATTTCTCATACCAGCCCGAGAGTGCACGCAGTCGTGAAAACCTTTATTAATTTTCTTGGCGGCTACGGTCAAGGAAACAGGAAGATGCAATGTTCGGCCATGAGGAACGCTAGCGATCTTTTCTATGGCATTTCTGTGTTATCTGAGTACTATTAGATCCACTCTTGTGTCACTGTCATAGCACTAGCATAGTGAAGTACTCAGTTGCTATGGCCACCAGGCCTTCCTCAAAGCAATGAAGTGGCACAGGTTCCCCCAAGTGAAGTCCACCTCTAGAACCGTATCGGTTAAAAGGATCTTCCTTTTGTTATTTATCAGGGGCTATAAATATTCTTTCCATGGCTGTTTGTTTCTGATAGGCAGTTCTCTAGGGCGAATGGGATTGGTCCTTTTTGCATCGGAATTCACCAAACAACCCCATTTGTAGCTCTTGATTGATAACACGACAACGTTAAAACCTAGGCAGAAACTTTGTAAATTTGATAATGGGTTCTTAGGCTTTGTCAGGATGCTACCAGGGTTCTTTGGACTCGTTGCCATGCTCATAAGCTTAATAAACAATACGATCTCCATTAAAGTTCAACCTGATCGCTGGTGGTGATGTGCAGCAATGTTTAACCTCATCATATTCACTCGCTCGTATTATGTATTGCCACGTAATCCTCGTGCCAACAATAAAAAAAAATATTTTTTCTCGTGCTACTAGCGGCACTTCGCATAAGCCCTTTACATTTAATTAAAACTACTCATCATAGTCGCTACAGCTTACCTTCTCCACAAACTTGCAACTCACTAACCAATAGGAAATCTGCACCTGTTTCCGACCAATAGCACGGGCCCCTGTAAGTGAACAGCTGATCGGCCTCGCATGCAAGGTATAAATTAGCGGTCGTGACAAGAACAAAGATACTTGCCGGTTGTGTTAAAAACACATAACGTCGGCTGCAGCTTACCCACCCAGCCACACAAGCTTACACGCTTTTGACCTCGTAGGTCTGTGAATGCACAACTTCTTTGTCCCCGCGCTCAACTGTAAACAACATGATCGCTAACCGCCCAGTTATCAGTGTGAACAACGTGTACATAGTCCTTATCTTTACCCTCTTTTTCATTGAAGCAGCGACAGCCATACCGAAAACCTTGGTGAGTTTTAAAAAAAACGGGAGAATTTATCACTATTCTATTTAGCCTAATTTATAACATCCGTTTCATTTACTTAAGGAGCACGGTTTGGTAATAAACCGACGACCGGAGTTGTATTACGCTGCGGACGTGGTGGACAAAGCGTATCGGCTTTGTTGGGTGGAGATCCAGAAGGACATTTTGACTGGGCGGAAAAGGCGATCAGAAGAAAGCAATCCTCAAGACTCGTTCCCACGGTGGGTCCCAATTGCTGGTGGTCGACGCTACTACCTTCCCCTGTCTGAACAGAAGAAGTTATCCATCGGAGAAAACTGCCTCCTGGTGAAGGGGATTGAAATCGCCCGAAGAGAGGAAGGTCGATTCCTGTTAAACTGACCTAAATGGATCCCAGGCGATTGTGTACATAGCCCCCTTCATTCACATCTGTATTGTTTGTACAGACTCACATGCCTCGCGTTTATTCACCCTTGTACAAATACAAATCTCATGTCTCAGAAGTGAAACTACTTCAGTCGCCTCGGGAATGGTGCTTGAGTTATTCTAAGCCCATTAACTTGACACAATAAGGCAGGGATAATATGGGTATAATCTTACCGTGGATGGGAAATACATATTTACATTTGGCGTTGAAGTATGCCGTTTCCTAGCTCGAGGTGAATGCTAGCGAATTTTGGGGTTACGTGTCAAAGTCTTTTCGGGTAAATCACAATATAAAGCAAGTTGAAAACTGGCTCTTCTACCAGGTAGCAAATAAGCCGTCAGCCTTGAGAGGGAACGTTCCCTTTCCTAATTTATCATTGGCTGAATAGAATGTCTTAAGTAAGCCCCCACGATTATTCTAGCTGTCAATGTGCTAGCGAGTTGTTATGAAAAGCACCGTGAATACTCGAGGTTAGGTCTTGTAGGATGCATCAGAGCTATAAGTGGATCCGTGTGGTTACTCTGTTATTGTGGTGAATGCTAAACCAGTAAAGTATTCCGCAAGCATCCGGCTTGGTGAGTATCCTAGTTGTGTGTTCTGATTTATCACATCCTGACTGCATGACCTCGTCTGCTAATGACAGGCTTGAATTCATTAACTTAATGGCCACAAGGTTGCGGTGTATTGAATGCACTTCGCTTCGGTATGCATTGTTTGGCACGCTCCCATAACCTAGTACTATCAGCCTCCTTCAGCGTGAATTTGCTCCGCATGGCTACACGTGGTCGATGTATTTTACAAATTTCAAAAAGTCCTGAAACTGCATTCGTCCTTTATAGTAATCGTTTTCGAGGTCTGACAAACTGCTTCCATGACCAGTCTTGGGATCCAGGTAATACTGTGAATCTAGCAGTGAGGTTGAACTAGTCTCTTGCAGCATAACCTTCGACCTGGTTCGAGTCTCGAGCGACCATCAAGTAAAGCGCCGAATTCTCACCCGCCTATGCATAGCCCGTTCTCTGGGGATTTCGGTTGGGAAGCTGATGAATCGTTCACCAGACCACCCTGGATCTTCCTTTTGGCTTGGAATGAGCGTTCATCTGCCACCATAACTCAGTCCCCCCGTATTCAGCGGCATTACCGAGATCAGAGCAAAAACTATCGGTATGGCTATGAAATTCGCCTCTGAATGTACTTTTTCATGAAAATGTGTTCTAGTGCCACTGAAGTGTTGCTGGCCATCAGTTCTTTTACCATGAGACGTACGTACATTGTGAAAACACATTTCAAAATCCGATGGCCAGGAAGCTGTGGGTAGCAGATAAACGTACAAATTAGTGCCGCACCTTTCGACTGACTGATTGCATTCTTCACTACTTCTTATACTATTGCCAGTGTATCCTGTGTGTTTTCAACTCAACTCATATGGTAAGTTCATTTAAAGGAAGTTACTTTTTGTCTGAACGGTAAAAGTATCGAGGAATGCTATGAGTTGACCACGGCTGGGTTCAGATTGAAGTGATTTGTCAGAAACGTTTCAAACTGTCAATTAGAGTGGAATTCACAATGTGGCACTTGCATGTGGCCGACGCATATGAGGAAACTGTGAACAATGGGTTTTAAGTAGGTGTTAGCATAAAGTGTCTGTTTTGGCACAAAATTAATGTTACATTAGCACCAGAACATTCGAGTTTCAGTCCACCCTCTAATTTAAACTGCACAAAGAAGAGCAAATTGACTGTCAATATCAAAATGAAGTTATATTAAGCAACATATCTTGCGCTGAATACGATGATAACTGGTAGATCATTGTAGCAAAATCACGCCTTGCATTCTAGCCAATCTCTTTGAAAAGACGCAACGAGGATGTACCTTGTCCTTTTTGGATGATTAAGCAGCCAATCTGTGTCGTCCTCTCAATATCTTCAAGGAGAGGACAGAAAAATCGAGGAAGGATATTGCAGTGAAGTGGTACCTACGACCTTTAAAGATTTAGGACTAAAACAACCTGAAGGACTTTTTGCTGTTAAAAACCAATTCACAGTCTTGTCGAAATGCCCTTTTGTGAATCGCATAGGACAGAGCAGGTTTTTCTTCTGAGGTGGATTTGTCAAGATGGAAACTACCTTTGCAGTGCTAGGCTAGAATTTGCACCTTCTGAGAGGCTTCACAGTGGAATCGTTATTCTTATGCTAGTATGCCCATAATGTATATGTATATCACAGTCGCAAACATAAAAGTTAATCACTATAAACTGAACCATCAAGTGTGCTTTCAGAGCTGTTTTGCAAACACAACAACATCACACCAACCCTTGATGAGCCTACGCAAACTTAACCTAATTTAGGGATATTCTAAAGGCAAGTGAGTAATAAAGTGACATTTCGATACATAAAAATTTCGTGATTGAAGTTTACAAACACACAACGTGATCTGTGCACATTTCTTTAGAACAACACCTAATATATCCATGTGTATTCAGATACAGCCAAGTGCTAGCCGACAGATCAAAGTTTGTCGACATTTTAAGTTCCAGTGCACCACTCAGAAATGCAGAAGGGGTCTTAGAATTTCTACCAGAGTAGGAGGAACTGGTACGTCGATCTGGTGGCACAAATGGGTTATCGCTTCGTACCTGAGGAGTTAGGCTGAGCTTGTCTCGAGATTACATACAGTGAGGTGTAAACAGTACTGAGATATTTTGAAGTCACACTACTTTGTGTCTCAATTATTTTTTTGCCTAGGTACACCGATAGAACAACGGACTGGCGAATTTCTGACTCCACTTTGTCAACAGGGTTGTGTTTGAATTTACCAAGACTCATAGAAGCAAATGCGACCCCCTTTTTGGCCACTCCAATCTCGTGGAGCATGTTGACTACGCAATCTATTGTTTACTCCAAGAATTTGTGAACTTCAAGTACTTTCACTGCATCGAACATCTGTTTCGACACTTACTCCTGTCACTTCTATTACACCTGTGCTATCTGGAAATGTTAACATTAAATTCACATAATTAAATGTCTCACCCTGGCAGAAAAGCGCGTTTAAGTTCACAGTCATTTTTCTAGTGGGGAGGATGTGCGGTTATAGCAACTCGTTTAAGATCGTTGGTATCTATTCACTTGCAGACTGATCCTATCACTGGAGTGCATTTTACATCATACACAGACCTCTGGACGCTCGACAGTTTGACCTGGCAAACTACTACACATTAGTCTGACAGAATACTTTTTATTGGACAGCATAGTGTGGTCAGTTGACAGAAACATTTAAGGCGGCAACTTTCACTAACCATGGTAACTGTTTTTCATGTCAAACTGTGACAAAATTGTCAAACAAACAAACAACCCACACAACTGTCTGCAGAGTGCAGCAATGCCAACTCAAATAGAACCCTGCACCAGGACAACTTGGGATTAAGTGACAATGTGTCTGGTCAGGTGACTAATGTCCCTTTAGCCTTGCAGTCCCACTGGAAGTGAGGCCGTGTTTTTCAGCTGAAATGTTTCATTATTGACACAGCCACTTACCTTGTCCTTATTTTTCCTGTGTTCTTTAGGCTGTCAAGTATTTTTGGCCAAACATCGTTAGTTTAAATCTCAGCGTAATGTTATTTAACCGTGTATCACTCCCATGACCTTAGTTGCTATAAATTTATTGATGCCTTCGGTTGCTCAGAAAGCAATAGTTAAATTTACATAACCATAACCGAGTCAAAGCTAACAATCCTGTTCCCTTAGCAGCTAGAGCCAAGTTAATACATTAGGTAATTGGTATGGTAGAAACGGATAATCTGACCACTATGCACATTAACGCTCAATAAGGCTACATCATTAACTTTCGTTTAAGGCTGTAGAACTATGATTGCAATTAACTTAACCTGTCCATTTGCACTTCCTCAATCTTCAGAGGATGAAGCACACAAACTTGCACCTTCCTCGCAGTTATGTATCAGCTTCAATCATATTCGTCCACTAGAAACGGATTTGGTGACCGTTGAAGTCGATAGTCCGCAACACTTTAATGCAGCCAAAGATGTACCAATTCTCTCTCGTAAGCAGGATTTCGAAATACATTTCAAATCTGCTACGCCAATCGTTACTGCGCTTTGATCTTTGAGACAAGTGGTGTACCACAGAGTTGAGATTTAATGGTTCAACAGAGCTAGTTCCCTCAGCGCATTTGACAAGCAGGCACGTGTTCCAATTAAAATTGTGCCAAAAGGATTGCGCTCACAGTACGCATAGCATTAAATTAAATTAATCTGAAATGCTAAGCGAAATTTGTGATAAAATCGTTGATGTGCCGGCACAAGCCCACTTGAATGTCTGGTTTCCAGTGTGAAGCAAACAAATGTCATAACTCTGGTGTTTTTTTAATTCTACCTTCTGATTTGAGTGCTACTTTTTACTAAGTTAGGCAGATGCAATCAGGCCTTTCTCGAGATCAGCGCTGCCATGGTGAAATTTAGCACTTGATGCCTTAGTACTCTGACGACATTAGTGTCGCGTCTGAATCGAAAATGTCTACGGAAACCGGTTAGCTTATCTTTTAATGAAAATCAAAACACATTTTTGGAGTGCCAAAAGGCCTAAAATGAACCACATTTCACCCTGCTTCAACTACCTCTAGCAATTAGAATCAAATCAAAACCATGTAAACATGCTAGGGGCAGCAATCTTTTTAGCAATATCAGTGAGGAAATTAAGTGAAGTTTGTGGTCATTAATGCAACTAAGAAGTTTTCATGAAACCAGGCAAAATCTGGGTCTTGTCGTGATTCGAAAGCTAATCACACGCTTCGTCAATCGCAGTTATAACTACTGTACAAAGCCTTGTATCTTAATTACCTAATGCATTATTCATCAGGCTTAGAGAGCAACGTTTGACCTCTTCAACATCTCAGAAGGATCGCTTTCACTTTGCTGTCGATCAATTCATTACTCAGATTGGTCTCCACTCAACGCAAGCGGGACACTGCTTTATTCATGAGTGAAGTGATGTGCATTGTCGCACCCGGTGCAAACTTCTGGCACTTCAACTCAGGAATTCCTGGATAGCTGCGCAGGTGTTCCTATTTGCCATTTTCTGTGAGTTTTGTGTGTCGATTTTACCGATACAATTCCACCTTTGCTGTATCCACGTCAACAATGTCTGACTACCGCTGGCCAATGTATCAAAAGTTATGTTGAATGTGATAAAGATAATTTATCCTGACTGCTAGTCAACTTCTGACCTCAGGTTTTCGTCTGAAACAATTCAGGGTTTACAGCGCGGTACGTTTTGATTTCCAATTTTGCGGGACCTTATTATTTCTGGTTCCACAACTTCCCATCTCACACTCACAACCCCCACTACACTGACAAGCATTAACGTAGGAACACCTCCCGTTCGTCAACTGTAAATACAGTTTAAACTCTAAGCACACCTGGGCCTGTCTTATCTCTTCTATTGTCAGAACGTTTTTAACCCAATAAAAGAGCTGCAGTCATTTCCAATGAAAAAAGTGTGCTGTGGGCACCAGCGTGTGTTCTGGAACCACACAGGGGCTACTGACTTGGATCTGGCCTGGTTACGCTACCCTGTTATCTTCGATGAACTGGAATATCGGAGAGGACGTTGACACAACCGTCTACTTCAGAACTTCACTAAGCTAGTGTCGCTATGTGCGCGTGGATACTAATAGCTTAGGTGTGTGAAACAGCGTGAGTCGTAAATGTGCTGACATCGAGACCTAGGTATTGTGAAAATCCCAGGATAATCGTTCAGTCTAATGAGGAGAGAGTTGAGGATCTGCGGGGATGACGACATGTCGTAACAAGGGGACAGTTTGTCGGAGGCTGTAGTGACCGGATTAACGAGTATGAATCAACGCGACTCAAAACAAGTGAGAGGGCAGTCTAACTGTAATAAGGACTACCAATTAGGTGTCATGGTAGCTGCAGAAATGTCGGGTGCAGGATCGGTCATGTTTGCGTTAACATCAGAAGCGCTTATGTGTCGGAAGCTTGAGATCATGTGAACTTCGGTCTAGCCATGCCAAGACGCCGCTGGTGGGAAGTTGCATATGGGTGAGTTTTAACGGATTATGAAATAGGCATCTTCAAGTAACTAGCTTAGGAATTGACGTGGAAAATATCGAAGATTTATGTCATCACAAAGCAAGTTAATGACAGCAATCGGCCACGAGGCAAAATTTTATGAGTATATAATGGCTGGACGCTAAAAATGGCCATCCAACATGCAGCCCGTTTGTCAGGTGCAGAGGATTGCGTTGGTTAAACGGATTTAGTTTTAATTTGACGTACAAAGCAACCAAAATTACTGCACTTTATGTAAGCGCGAACAATGGTTGTAAGATTATGACAATGTTGATATGCAAAATGACTAAGGGGCCTTTAGCTGCATCTATGTGCAGACGTCTGAAGCCATGTTCCAGTGTCTGAAAACCGATTTTATGCTGCATCATCATGCACCAGCCCAAAATGCATACCACACAAGGCATTAGTAACTTGTGGGTCTTAACCCAGAAGGCGGACACCGCATTGACCCCAATCTCCTGTTTTGTTTACACTCTCGCCTGCATCGTGTGGTCACCGCCTACTGCTCAGTGGCAATTGGATGTCGATTTGCATCGTCACCTTAGTCGGTAGCTATGTTAAAGCCTATTTTCACAAGGGGCTGATTTGACACTAAGGTAATTTTACCTCTCAGAAACGCCTGAGGCACTGGAAAACGCCAAACAAAATACGCTTCGATGAATCCCAAACAATAAATATCTACGAAGGGAGGCTGTATGTTGCACAGGACGCAAAACATCCATATTATTTCCTCTCACGTTTTTGATTTTGTTTCGATGAAAACCTGGATATCAATGTTTTCGCATTCAGCAAATACCCACATTCACGGTTTACTTGAGTGTAGAATAAACTTTCCAGGGAAGGGAACCGAGTATTACAAAGTAGCATTCATCCCGAGAAGAGCTGTTCAAATTTTATCTGTGACTACCGTGAAAAGGAAAATTTCCTTCAATTACTCCTCAAAACACTTCCCGGAAAGTCTAACGTCTATTCGATTGTTACTAGGTCAATGGTATGGTTAAGTTCGATTTAAGATGGACTAGCGTTTGCACGTTTCTCTTCAGTGGATGAACTTCGAAATGTTTCAGCCAACGGTGATGCTGTTTGCACTAACAGATCCGCGGACGCTCACCTCACAAAAAGCTGTCTCTGGGCATGGAAATTCAGTGTAGTAGAAGGGTTAGTGATGGATGCAGCAGATGATGAAGTAGCAGTGTTCAGTGTAGAACAGACTTAGGAGATCAAGACTGCGAAATTTGGTGGAAAACAGCAGAGCACAATTCAATTCACTCGAAAGCCCATCTGGGTTTTGTAGCCAAGCTACAAATTTAGCGACACGAGTAGTTTTGATCCATTAACAATACGTTATCTGATCTCGAGGACATTAAGATGAATTTTCTGGGGTCCCAGACTGGACAGGTCCAAGGTACACTAGAATATATTGAATGCCTTTATGAAGTAGCTGAGGGTGTGGCCCACAACCTGATGGTAAAGTAGAATGTTGCTAGAATTCGACAAAAAAGCACAAATCAGACCTGGTGTTTGACCAACTCAACCGTCTAGACATCCGCATGGTTTTGTGACATCTACGTCGATAGATTGCAGTCCGTCCCACAGTAATGAAATTTTTCGACCAATGAAAATAGATGTTAGGAATCAAAATGTCATGTTAGGAGCAAGCTGCAATGTCTCTGAAACCTGGAGCTACAAACCATCAATTCGTCCATGTGTAGTAGCTGATTTTAGCACTACCTTACAACTAGTTAGCCCGACAAAACCCGAGAAGAGGAAAGAGAGGAGACGACAGAGAACAAGACCGTTCACTGGTGTCACACCAGCCACGTGGCTTGTGTGTGCATGAGTACGCGTGAATAATAACTGGAGCGAGTAACAGAAAGGGTGAGTCATTGGTTCACGCATCACTCACACAAGGTGGCTTTCTGTCCATTACACGGCCTTGGTGGCACCTTATTTGCTGATAAATCAATGAAACCGACAAAATATTCATGAAATCTTGCCTTCTGCATTTCGCTAAAGACCGAATCGAGTGACATAATGTGCTAAGACATTATGCATCCTATAGTTCACAGTAAGTCGAGAGGAGTCTTCTCGTAACAAGATCTCATCGTTTTATGTGTCGGTATATTTAAAGTGAAAAAAAGTATTTAGCGGTCGAGAGAGCAAAAGCGAAATAACACTAATCAGAAGTCGACTACTTCTCAGGCACAGGTGCAACAAATCCTTGAAGAAACACACGAAACCCTGCCAGACAAGACAGGTAGGAAAACCTTAATGCAAGTCTGCAGGTCATGGATTTATTGCTGGTGTAGAAGCGAGCGTGTGTAGGAAGAGCTGACAGATCTACTGACCACCAAACACATAATTTACTGATACACGTTATTTGTGTGGACAAGATACTCTCAACCCTAAACCCTTTCAGAGGACTTCAGTGTCAGCAATTTGGTAACTCCTGTGTTCACCCATAAAGTCATGTGATTACGGGGGACAAGTGGACGTCAATGTAAGTCTTGCTTGCCCGAACCTAACCCAATCCATGGCACTATCTAACAGAAAAGCAATTGACATGCCTTTAATTAAAGTGTAACGCAAGTTAAAGCTTTCATGCCAACATTAGTAAAATGCATCGTGGAGAATTTGGTGGTTATCACCAAGTTGTCGCTGCATACTACTCGTTTTACTCTGAGTTCCACTGGTTGGTTGGGAAAAGAGTGTTTGAAAATCTGATGCTTATATTAATCAGTGCTTGAGATGCTGACGCAAAATCAGAAGGTAGAGCAACGAGAAAATGTAAGCAATTTGCAGTGCGCCATCATGACGTACAAGTGATGTGGCGCACGATAACAAATGCACACAATTTGCTATTCGGAGGAAATTTTAATTAAAACTACAAAGAAGCAGACAGTGCCCATATTCAGGAAAACCGTGAGTGAGATGCCCTCTCAACATCCCCTAGCACGCAGGATTGCATTTGTGATTGGAGGACTTGGGATTGTTGTGGGCCCCAGCGTGTGGTCTTGAACCACGCCTGGGCCACTGATTTAACCCTGGCCCAATTACGCTTCCCTGATACCCGCGACGGAGAAAAAGACCGGAGAAGAAGTGGACACAACCGTTTACTTCAGAGCTCAACCACGTTGGTGTCATGTGTGGGGTGTGCGCGTGTGCATGTATGTCTCAGATGTGTGTCATGCGCTAACATCGAGACCCAGGTGTGAGGATAATCCAATGAGGTGGAGTTGAGGACCCGCGCGGCTGGAGACATGCTGCGAAAAGGGGAACCCTGTGTCGGAGAACAGAGCGACCGGATTAAGGCGTGTGAATAAACACGATTCACAACAGTATCATTCGTTTTGCTAGATGAGTAGCAACAAGCAAGTGTACACGAAACAGTGAAGCACAGCTTCCTCATAGGCATTCAATGAAACCGTCACCTACAATGATTATGTGTCCGTGTGTTTCAGGTCATTAGTAAACTGTTGTGCCGCTGAATGTCACTACCCGCTTCACTTTATGCTGATCCAAACACTCGACACGGCACAAAGTCAAAGTGTAATTTGTAAGTAAACAAGATTTCCTGCCAATTTTTCAGTGTGTTTACCTAATGCCCCACTGGGTCACCGTCCATTTTGGCATCAACAACCTAATCTATAAGATTGATCGCAGTGCAATTATGCCCCTAAATTTTTAACCACTGATTGCACAAGCCTTTGGTATAGGATAATTTTGTCTCAATTGTCGTAAGCAAATATGTTTGACATTTCTACGTACCTGCAAGTAAAAAGTCACTTATCACCGTCACCAGCAAGCAACACTCGTAAACACGTCACAGTAGAAAAAAGTGCAAAGAGGTTTCGCTTGAGCTGAAACATGTGAAATTCACTTCCGATTCTCTGTAACCCTGTTGTAGCTGTTTTGTTGGATGAAAACCGAAGCCTCGCACACTGTTCGGTCTACGGCCAATTATCATATCTTTCCGATCACATCGCAGCGGCATGCATATCTGTTCAGCATAGTAAACACTGCATTTTGTCAAGATGCGGCACCATGAACTTTGACATGTGACAAATTCCAATGCTGCATGATAAACACGAAGTCACAATCCGTACATTAGCCCTCACAGCCATTACCCCCAATTTATCATACAATCCAATTGCGTACACTGCTACCGCTATGTGTGTTTTGCGCTGTCTGTTCCAAACGCCTAGAATCTCGCGCTCTTGTTAAGAGCAGAATTATTGATCTTTTGTTAAAGGAAGGAAGGAGTTTGAAGGAAGAGTAGGTGGGAAAATGAGAACATGAGGCAACCAACACTGCCTGAATCGAAAGCGGGCCTAAGTGTCAATGCAAGGCAATTTGTCGTGGCACTCGAAATGTTGCCAATCGGAAGTTAAGCGACTGCAGGGACCACATGGAATTAAGCACATACCCTGTGGTGCTGATTTATTAAAGCGGGTTGTAGCATCACAGAGTTGTTGTGATGTTACAGAAGACTAAACAATTGATTTTGGCATCGTGAAAACACGCTTGTGTGAGAAAACTAAACACCTCTCAAGCCACAGCAGGCGGCTCCTGACACAGCAGCAAGTTGACGCGACAGGAAAGTGAATGTGATGTTGCCATCTTACCTTATGGGATTACCAACAACAGAACTGCCCGTGAATAACCAGACACTCTCTTAGGAGACGTATGATCGTCCATTAAACTAGTTTGTTTGGCGGTCCAAAAGGAAAATTAGACAAAACGTGGTGCATTTTGCTTGTTCAATCAACAAATTATAATTGTGTTCTTTGAATCCATTTTTGACCATGTGTTTGGTACGCGTGCGTGTGCGTGTGTGTGACTGAGCGACCAAATTGTGCGATCCAAAGACGTGGAATTAGCCTACCAAAATCGTGCAAGTCTGAAGAATTATATCAGACTGTAGTTGCCGGTGAATGGGAAATTTTCAGCTTGCAAGCGTTCCATTTCGTCCATTCTCATGTAGAAGCGATTCTCGTAGAAGCCGTAATGCCTAGCAGGGTGATCGTTTTTACCCGAAGGAGCGTTCTCCACGCACTCATCTCGACTAAAAACCTACGGCAAAAAGAACATATTTCGACATTTTCATTGCTTTTAAATGTTGGCGTAAAAGCACTCTGTGTTGGAAATAGTGCACTAGAGAAATTTGAAGAAAGTCGTAATTTCGCTTCGGTTTCACCAAACTCAATGACACAAGGCAAATAATAGACAAGTCCAGTAATAGTGACGACGAGTCCATGACTGAAATCAGCTGTCAGCGATGGAGCTACGTAGGTCTTTCTGAATCACCGGTCACGGGATTAGGCGCCGAGTTTCAAACTCGTTTATTTGACGACCGAGTTAGGAGACAAGACAGTCTGTGTGTGTGGGGGGGTGGGTGGGTGGCTTAGGCCCCACGTGGACAACAAATCACGTATTAATTTAGTGCGGGTTGGTACCGTCGTTGCAAGTGAGGAGCTTCGTAAGCTGCTTGTGAATGCCAACAATTATTGACCCTTCACTTTATTGCCGCTCGAGTTTTCTAAATCCGCGTTGGGTGTCTACTCAACCCCACCGGGAGGTTTGATAGCTTATCAGTGACTCAGCAACCGGTGTCTAGAGTCGCTTTTAGAGCTTATTTGCACTGTTTTATCTTTTGCAGCCCCCGCTGCAGCTTGGGAACCACACCAAGGCCGACGATCGACGTTGACAGAAAGAGAAGATATGCTGAGGTAACGTGTAGCCCAACGAATTTATTGATCCAGCAATGGCGTTTTCGTACAAGGTAATAAATCATCACTTTACGTAGAATTGGCTACTGTCGATGTCTGAACGAACTTAGTTACCTGAAGTGAATTCGTGTAAATCGATAGAATCGTGTTTTACCACGCTTGCTAACCCTACTCGCACGCTGCTCGACACATATCCTTCTCATCGGTGCCACGCCACATCTAGCACACGAAGCTCTTTTGCATGCCTCACACACACACACACGCACCCACCAGCTAAAGCGGCAAGTCTGAACACCGCAAGGACAGCGGCATGGCAATGAGCAATCAGACTACAATGTTGTTCGCGGGTAAGCGACGCGGACAGGCAGCAACTGGGTGGCATAAACAAACGCCACGCAGACACGCGGCCCCCCACCCAACTGCGGTAAGGTGATTCACGGCGAACGACGCGGGTTACAATACAAACCATGTCCGGTTTCTGGGGCCCAAAGCCCGATACACTTATTTCATTACTTGGCCAACCAAACCTATCTAAATCCACACATGTAAACCAGTTCGGTAGACTTCACAGTTCAGGAGAAAAAGATAGAATGCGGAGGCGTTGCCGTGACTCACTGCTGTCTGTGCAGGAAATGCAGCTTTGTGGTAATTTTCAAAAAAATGTGCACGCATCCATGTACCAGGAAAGGTGTTAACTCCTCGGCTTAACTTTTTTTGCCACAACGCGACACCGACGGACTTTCAGAGTGTTCGGTGGAAAAAGCTGACAGGGGGAGGGGATTGTCGTGTGATGCCTTCTCTCCACAAAGAACACAACCCGTGTCTATTCATAGGGCAAACAATGAGGGGTAATTCTGGCTAATTCTGTTTACGTCGGGCAAATGTATAGTGGAGGCCAAGTTGACTAGAGTAGCAACATCGTTTCAGGGATTTTAGGTTAAGTGTAACACAAGAAAGGAGATATTTCAATAATCAAAAACACTTTACTCACAAATGACTTTGGCCAATAAAAGTAATGTCTTGCTAGTTTTTTTTAAGTACTCACATGAAATGGTGCTAGCGCTGGATTTGATTTCTTTTCCGAGAACGCCTTGCAACTACTTCTTTGTGCTGAAAAACACGAATATTTGCACTACTAACAAATCTGTCGGTAAGTAACTTCTGGGAAAGTTAGTATTTCCATGGACTGCTCTTAGCACAATTGAAATTTGGTCTCTATCTCGAAGGCCCCACCCACTCACCGTTCCCACTTGTTTTAGTTGTCGTCATCATTCAGGTCAAGGTCACACGTGACTTAGCTTAGCGGGCACATGCTAACACGTCACTCGGGCTTAGAACGAGATAGCATAAACCACCTGCACGTGGTTCTGTGCTTGTCCTAGCTGTAGGAAGGTGGATTTACGCATCGGCACACCGTAAAGGCAACGTCATAAATTCGTTTGTTGGATTTGATTAATTGCTAGTTAACCCTCCGTGTAATGCTAGTCAAATTAACAACAATAAACAGCATCAGGAACTGTAAGCTGAATTTGCCAACTCCGTTATCAGCTATATATTGACCGGGTGATACTTTGTACTCAATACAGCCACAGTGAAATGCGCTAATTGACCTTTGGATTATTAGACACTGGTTTGAGACACCCAACTACCACGAAATTGACAATGATACGTTGGCAATTGTGGTTATGAAAATGATTTGAATTACTATTAAAAACTGAGCAGACTGAAACAACTACAACTTTATTCGAATTCGGAAAAAAATGCAAATAACTGATTCGATAATGCGGTTTAATCAAACATGCATTATACTGTTAAAAACGGAGACATTTATTTCAAAAAAAACGACAGTTATTTTGCAGGAAAAATTGAAAAAGTAAAACGCAAATCGATTTCGACGGCGCCAATTTAAACGAAAAATGCGAGGCTCAAACAGGCGGTGATCTTAAACTGACCAATTATTTCGAGACATTGTTTGCCGTGCCAGTCCTTCCAACCTGTTCGTCGACATGCATTTGAACAGAAAGACACCGACTGACAGCGACGGCATGGCGTAATACTTACGCCCACTGATCGTCCACAGTGAAAACAGAATCCGAATTCACATCCGGCTGAGCCAACGGAAAGTAGTGTTTTTGAATAAGTGGAAAATTTTTGTATTTATGATATTCCGATTGAACACTAAGCGCTAATTCTAGATGAAGTATCGATAAATAAGTGATTGTTAATTAAGGTTCTACTGAATGCGATTGTGAAGATGAATTTAGACAGAACAAATGTCGTTATTGTTCTGCCCAAAATGAAAATTCACCTTCACCCTCACCACAACGGTCATGTTTAAAATCTTTTATTCAAATCAGCAGATAATTAGCCCAACAGGAGGTTAAGAGCAAGGTAGATGATTTCCCAGAGATAGACTGCTAACATTCACCGACTCAAAACCAATTTACAACACAATTACCCCCCAAAATGTTTAGTCCCATGCCCCTACACAAGATTCTGACAGAATCTCCTAACTTATCTACAATCTATTGACTCAGACTGAGTGGCCTCAGGCACTTACTGCGTGATTGTGTTCAAACTTTTAACAGTCATCGGACTACACAGAAGCAAATGCTACCTTTGTTGTGGTTCCAGCAATCACTAGCAAACACAGATTCCCTTAACTTTCTGGCTAAGAAGACTAGCGTTGCATCACGTTCTTTTGCTACTTGATGATCAGTAGAATTGACAGGAGCGAAGGGTCTCTCCAACAGGCTCGGTCCAACACTTGAATAGACTTGAAAAGCGTAGTCGACAACGCTACCTAAAGGCGAAACGCAAAATGTTATCGCTACCTTTTGATTGTCAGTAGAATTTCAGTTAACCAGCATTAACCACCTTCGGTGTTATCTGGCGGAATGGCAATTCTATGATTGACGAGCCCATTTGGACAGCGTCGAATCAAGTGTGACAACAATGTTAGACGACACTGTAAGTTTCGGGAATTCTCATACATTGGATTGAAGACCACACATAGCGCTGATCCGAGTCCCTTGGTTAGACGCATTGTTAGATTCGTCAATTGATAGGACACAAGGAGCTCCACAATCTAATGCAAGGTTAAACAATAGGTGTAGGTTCCAGAATTTGTCTAAAGTGAGATTGGCAGTTAAATTTAAGAGGCTTAGCAGATATTTTGGAACAGTAGCAAACTACAAGTTGGCTAAATTGTATGATGGTGACTTTAGAGACAAACTTTTCGCTCACCTTGTCATTTCCGCTCGCAATCGCAACACTGAGCGGGCTGTGTCCGTTGCAGAGGAGATTTGGGTCCCCACCCCGATCCATCAAGAGCTCAACTATGGCCGCTGAATGCTTGGCAATAGAATAAAAATACAGTTAGGCTATAATTTGGGGAGGTTGCACAATGAACTTGTCGTGACTCGCGTTGATTCACACTCGCTAATCCGATCACTCCAGCCTCCGACACAGGGTCCCCCTTTTCGCAGCATGTCGCCAGCCACGCGGATCCTCAACTCTCCCTTCCTCATTAGCACGATCATTTATCCTGAATTATCCTCACACCTAGGTCTCGATGTTGGCGAGGTCTCTGAGGTATAAATACACAGACGACACCAACGTGAAGTAAATGGTTGTGTCCACGTCCTCTCCAATCTTTTTCTTCATCGCGGGTATCAGGGAAATGTAATCGGGTCAGGGTTAATCCAGTGGCCCCGGCGTAATTCAAGGCCACATGCTGGGGCCCACAACAGACTTCTTAATTTACCTATTGGGGAAGCCGAAATTCCCCAAGACAAGTAAATTAACCCAGTGATTAGTGAAGTTGATCTACTGAGCTCTGTTTACATAATAACGACTACGGTCAAGCCACATCGTTGTTCACACCAAAAACTCACCGCTCAGTGTCAGTGACTCAACTCATCAATCTCACGAGCATCCACCCTGATCTCACCGCTAGCCCCATCTTGTGCCCGAACCTGTAGTTGAAACAACAAATCTCTCTGCACAGCCTCTTGTCGTGTTCTGAAAATCCTTCGACGCGCCAAACAAGAGGTTTTGAAAATATGTACGCCTGGAGATTTGCATCTAAAGTACCTTTAGGTCGTAATTTCTCGCACAGGCAAGATGCAAAGCAGTCCTTCCGCCGTCGACTTCCGACGATTTTACAAAGACCTCTCCAAACTGTAAAATAAAGGGAATTTATGCCCACTTTTTAGTAAATACAGCTTAAAAATGTTAGGTGCACTAATTTACTATCCTTACATGTTAGCCAGGTTGCTCGTATTTGTGTGTTAGATGTGTGGCGGAATTCGAGTGTGGAAAATCTGCTGAACATGATAAAGTTGATCCACCAACTACAACGGATTCACGTTAAATGTGCATCTATGATTCAGCACATATCGATTAGAGAGGTCAGTGGTCTGTTATCTACCTCCTCCAAACAAAACTGTGACGGTGACGCGGACAAGGTGAGGTGGGTACCGTGATGATGATCGACACCATCGAGAAGGGAAGCGCTCGGATCCTTCACCCGGACTGGAGTGTGCTGCTGACCGACTCACCTTGTCACATGCCTGGCTCCGGGGAAGGAAGCTATCATCCGGTTCCGCCCTTGCATTCGGGTCGGCCCCAAAATCGAGAAGCATTCTAGTCAATTCGACGCCAACTTCTCCGGGCGTGAGCACAGCGAAGTGAAGCGGCGTGAGTCCAATAACTCCGAGCTCGCGCACATTCCCCTTGAAGTCGGTGTAGCGCATCTTAAAGAAGGAGTCAGATCAAGTAAAACTGGGAGTGCATGCTGGTATCGTGAATCGTGTTTATTCACACTCTGCCTCCGACACAAGGTTCCCCTTTTTCGCAGCATGGCACCAGCCACGCAAATCCTCAACCGCCCCTTCATTCACACGAATATCAATCTTGGATTATCCTCACGCTGAGGTCTCGATGTTAGCGCATGTATGACTCACACATCCGAGCTATAAATACACACGCGCAAACTCCACACACGACACAACGACACCAACCTGGTTGAGCTCTGAAATAAACGGTTGTACCACGTCCTCTCCGGTCTTTTTCTTCATAGCGGCAAACGTAATCGGGCCAGGGTTAATTCCGTGGCCCCGGCATGGTTCAAAACCACATGCTGGGGCCCACAACACTGGCAAATCCTCTCCTCATGATACCCCGATAATGGGCTTGAGAATTAGCTGATTGCAAACTCAAAGCTGCCAGTTCACTCACTGCACCAGCTCACTATGTAACTGCAACAATTTCGAGTGGAAACTAATTGTTCCACAAAAATCAAAAAGATTACCTATTTCAGACTCATTATAGGGAACAGTAATTTGGACAAAATCTACCCAAAGCGAAACCAAAGCATTAAAATTGAGCACTGCACGTAAAACGATCGACTAACTTCGGCCGCAGTATCCGGTCTCGCCTGAATTCGGACATTCGGATCTGCACCGAAGTGAAGGAGAAGTCGCGTTAACTCCAGATCTGCTGGTCTTGAAGCCGCTATCAACGGGGTCATGGGGACACTGGAAGCATTCGGATCAGCCCCGTATTGAAGCAATGTTAAAACTGTTTCTAGTCTTCTACTGACCCTACAACCAATAAAAATTGCCCTATATCCTGGTCAGGTAGTAGGTTTATTACATTGGCCTGTAAAAACAACATAATATAGCTGCTCAAATTATGTCAGGAAGCCAACTTAGATGAGCAATAAATCAATGATGGTTTATAGAAGATCATGTTATCACAATATGCCTGTAAATATTTGTCAATCAACAAGTTGGGGTCCTTACAATCTGTTTCGCAAAGTTACCGTATGCTCTTTCGAAGGTACTTTAAGTCCTCCGGATCTATTTGTGTGGCCTTCGTCACAAGGCACTTCCTGTGCTGCCCTCCAATTTTGCGTAATTTGGTTTGTCTAGCAAACTTCGGAACTTTCTCCTTGATAAGTGCGTCCAGGAACTAAAAAAGGACAAGGCAACTACATATCCACCAGATGAGCGCGTTTAGGCTGAAATTGAACCGCACGCGTGCAAGATATTAGCTAGAGTTAGGATACGATTGTAGTGCTTTACTCTCGAGGAGAGCAATCGCAAGTGGGCTTAACAGTATTTTGCATCCTTAATGAACAGCTTCGTCACACCTGGGGACCATGCCCTAAAGATCAAATCAAACACAAAAAGCAACACCATTTTGCCGCAACCTCAGGGTAAAAGGCACGCCTACTTAGTGTGTGTGCGTATTTGTGTTTCTCCTTAATATCCCACGCAGTTCAAAGCTCTTCCTAACGTTTTAAATGATAATTTTCCAGTAAATTTTGCTATTTTCGATTGGTCTCAGGTCCTGGAAGGTGAAGAATTTCAACAGAAATCGCAGTAATGAAGGGGTCTTTCGTGACACCAAACTCGAATTGTGCTACACAGACCTTGTTGCTAGGCTAATCTTTGGACGTGAGCAAGGACCAATTTCTGTATTACTTATGAATGAATGTTCAAAAATCAAGCTTGAAGACTTGACTCGTGGACAAGTGGATATCCACTACGCATAGTTTTTAACCGGACACATTGGAACGTCCTATTTGATAATTTCACTACTTCAAAGGATCACGTAAATGTAAATGGCTAAAGATGAGGAATTTAAATTGCATGTTTACGCTAAACTTCGGTATTCTGGAACAGCCTGACCTCACACTTCCCCTCTGCTTTACTACAACGTGTGGTTTATTTTACTTTCCTCTTCTGCAGGGCACAATCAGATTAATAATTAAGGAAGCTTCTCTGATGCTTACCTCGTTGGGCGACATGTATTTGTTAAAAGTTGAAGCGATGGTAGCCAGCGAATATCCAGGTCGACAGCTACATTGTTACTCAAACATCATAAACTTACAAATCTCTCAATAGACTCATGAATCCCGTTTCAGTATAGTTTTCTAAAAGAGTAGTGAAGTTGTCAACCGTAAGCTAGAGCTGTTAAAATTGTTCAAAAACAGGTCTATATGGGATAAATATTGTTTAAATTTCTGTTGCTGTGGTAGTGCTATTACGTCTCACAATTAACAAGCGTGTTCCAGGGTTGTTACTGCAGTTTTGGCAATGACCTTACGCAAACCGCTTTCAGAATGTGAACTGCCATTGACAATATCAAAAATCATTTGCAGCGAATCCTGCCCATTTTCAATAAAATTGTGTACGCAGCCAAATACCACTTAGACATCACACAACAGATTTTGATTGGTTATCACATCCATTCTCCACTCTTTCAACCAATGAGACCGTTTCAGATAGCTCTCATTCATCTTCTGTAGGAGTCGTTATCATAACGAACTAAATTCTGTACATAAAATGCAGCGTGATGCTATACAAACACACTTTACTACTTAAAATACCTTCTTCTGGATTGTGTTTTTCCTCAACTTCCAATATTTCTTCGTGGATGTCATTGTCGCTACCTAGCAGCCAGCTAATTTCTGCACGGAACCACTTCTCAGTAGTTATTTCATCTCGGTTTAATTCTATCAAGTGACTGTCACTGCCAATTTGGACTGGGTGTCTGTCTACATAGGTGCACACACAGAAACTAAGGCAGCTGATTCCGTCAACTGTAAGCGCATTAGTATTAGCTCCGTAGGAAAGAAGAAGCTTCACAACATCATAGCTCAGATTCGCCTAGGAAAAAAAACAAATGTGGCATGGGTCAACTTGGATAGGTATAGGTTGACGAACATATTGCTATATCCTCAGGCCAACTAGACACACCCTTTGAACTAGGCAATGGAAAACCAAGTGTTCCTCATGTACTACGTGCACAAAATCCCTTTTGTTATTGTTAAATAAACTTAAAAAACAGTCGAGAGAAAGATCCATAAAAATTGACAATTTAGGTAAGCGAATATAACTGAGTGCCAGCTAATTGTATTATGTGCACCAACTGCTTTTTTTGAATAAACTTGTGCAGTTTTAGGCCACATCCACTACCCAGAAGAGCTCTGGATGTAGGAAAAAGGTATCGATTTCCACATCTAATGACATTGTGTTCGCGTAAATGTTTTTGATTTGCGTTCCTTTTACTTAGCATTCCACTAACAGGCGTACCGATGCAACATGAAGCGGTGTAACGCCCCTCAAGTCAGCCAAATTTACGTCGACCATGATGGGATATTCTTCAGAACCCTCCAACATGTTCGCTTCCACCAGACTATTCGTGAGAACGTCGCTAACACCGAAGGTATCATTATTTTGGGCTGCCGAAAATAATGTATTAACGGTCGATGTTATCCAGCCCCCGCAATTGGCTGCATGTGTCGCGTTGAGAGACTTCAAAACGTCTTTCAGGGACTCAACAGAGAAGCCCGTATTCGAGAGAAAATTCGTGTGTTGGGCTAAGTAGAAGGTAACAGCAATCTTCTCATCATCAGGCACACTAAAATGAACAAAGTTTTAAAAGAACGTAATGCGCAAATACGCAGACATTTTGATGATAGATCAATCAAAACTTACGAATCCGAATCCATTGCGTTTTCAAAAATTTCAAAATAACCTTTTTCGTAGAGGTCGTAAAGATAGGGATTAGCTTTAAAAACTTCGAATTCGACACCAGGTACTGGTGGTACCTTAAGGGCAAACACAAAAAGTATCAAGAACAAATAATAATACCTACGGTCAAATTTTCATGAGATTTGAGCTCAAATGAACAAATTTTCTTGATGGGAGGTAAGCAAAGTCTTCGTTGGAAATATTTATTAAATATTGAGGACTCATAGAGATTCATTTCATCCGTGAGCGCTAAGGGCAATTCCACCAACCTGTTCATGTTCCAAATTCCAACGTCAATTTTATGGGTGTCTTGCAGGGAAATGCCAATTCCAAATCGTGCGTTTTCACGGAAAAAGCCCTATATGTGAAAAAATGTAAGAAGAGGGGGCAGTTTCTAACCATGTAAAGCTTGTCAGGGGAAAAAGAAGAAACTGTTATTCCAAATCCGTCTTGAGCATCTTCCCAAAAGGTACCAGCAAAAGAGCCGAAAGAAGTATTCCATATGCCAAAACCATGCCTCACACTTCCTAAATGTGTTCCAGCAAATGTCTAAAGGCAAAATGCATTTTAGATTTTAGAATATTGATCCTGAAATTTTGTCTGTACAGATTCGAAGCACCTATATTACATTGTTGTGCAATGACTGGTCACTGCGTCACTGACTTTTCTTTTTACAACAAAAACCACTCATCCAATAATACATTTAAAAAAGTTTTTAACGTTACATTAATATTTTATGAAAAGGTGTAATCGTCAAACATTACGAAAAAGGGCTCATTTATATGGTTATAAACTTACCTCGTCACTGGGAAACGCAACAATTTTGTACAGCAAGGTTCTTTTGACTTCTGTACATAGATGTAATTTTGAAGTCTCCAAAGTTGTTTCAACATTTTTGCAATCTGTTCATCATGGATAAAGTGCAGTGCATACCTGTGTCCTGCTTATTTATGTAGGCTGAAAATTCTATTGGAATTGAAATACACATCAATCTGAAAGGAAACTAAAGGCTAAATACGTTTAATGGACACATGGTAAAGGAGGCCTGCAGTAAAGACCATTAAAATAAGTTAATAAAAACAAGGCTTAAATACATTTGGATGGGGAAACAGTTTAGTAAACCATAGCATTTGTTACCATAATTTACTGCAATGTTAAAATCCAAATATTTTATCCGAATTAGGAATATAGTCTTAAAGTAAGATTGCAGAATTTGAAAAGTATGAATGATGAAATAAAATGCATCAGCGAAAACAAAAGTGCTTGTTTTGAGAAGGTACTACAAAACACCACTACCACTACACACTACAACTCGACTCATTCAAAATTACAACCTAGAATTTTGACAATAATTATGAAATGAGCACTGAATTAAGCTTAGAATTGGGTCCGGCCAGAACTTTGTTGCGTTTCATTCTTGTTAAACAAAAACATGTCACATAATGCCAGATTTCTTTAATGGAAATTTATGGAGTTTAAGTTGCATTTAACTTTGTTTCTTTTAAAATTAGGGAGATACATTTTCCAAACAAAAAATGCAACAGTTTTACCAAGCCTAAATTGACAAATTTGAATCAAACGTTTGTTATTCCTATTCTTTTAAACCTAAGTGTGACCGCATTTTAAAGTTTTCTGAAACGTACTTCGAAAATTGATTTTTAATGTCGTAAATAGACGTTCATTAATTCCACAATACAGCTAAAGTGCGAAATTTAGTGCATTTAGTACTTGTATAGCAAAAGACCCTATATTTTTTCACATATTGTAATTTTAAATGATTTAAATGTTGTTTGAAAAGTAGTTGCTTACAAAAAGACCTACGTTTATACACTAATTGGGTGATTAAAACAAAGCAGCTTGGTAGAGTTACCGTGAAAAGCTATTAGTTCCGAATGATATATCATAATAGAAGTATGTTTTTTACAATTAATAATTTAAAACAAGTAGCTTGCAGTAACATTTGCAGTTAAGAATTAACTCATGATTATATTTGCTATTAGTTTTTCCCGTGCAAATTAGGATAAGAATTTTCGGCAGACCAAGCCTTACCTAAAATATACCAAGCATAAAATTTTTGTTTACGTCAAGTGTAAAGCATTTTATTAGCGTATTAAATTGATTGAATTTTCATTTATCTTCTAAGATTTACCCAATTATCTATATTTCTGGTTAATTTCCACTAACTGATAGGCAAAACGAGGCCTCATTACCTCAACTAGCTGTATGGTAAAGTTTATGTAAATTATTAACAATGGTGCGTTTTTGGCACTATGTGCACTATTCAAATGTCTACCTTTTTCCTAATATCGTGTCCTTGAACTCCTCTTACGGAAATTATTGTCCCCTCACAATGAAAAGGGAGCTCACTCATAATAAGTTCTCTAATAATTGTTATTTTAGACGTCCTTGCGTTATGGTACTAATTTATAGGAAGCATAACTAATAGATTCTAGATGTATCTCATTAAATAATTGTCTAACTTAATCGTATATATGTTGGTTCTTCTTTAACGGTGAGGATTCAAGAACAATTGTAGAAGTTGCTGTTGATAGTTACTATTAGTAAGATTCGCACAATCAAATGTAAATTTTATATCATTGTTTCTGTGGAAATTTTGCATTGTGCTAAGTTGAAAATTTATTCCAACCATTAATTAAATCGGTGTTTATTTTGTAAGATCTATTTCCGAACACATTTACATCAGTGACGATAATGAAGACCAGAGAGGACGAGGCACATCCTTTACTAGAAAGTTCAACCAAGCTGTGGTTTTCATGTGGGAATGTTATGGTTGGTGCAGTGATAATTTGTTTTTCTTGACCGATACAGTTGAGTGTTCTAGTTAAAATACAGGCTTCTGATTGATTACTTGGACCAAGTGGGTCGTTGTGATACCTTCAGAAGAATATATGAGCTGGCGGTTCCGCGTGACTGCCGGGTGTACCTTGACTAGAATGACGCGTGCGTGTGGCTGCAACGGCCACACGGTTGCACGTGAATTAATAAGGTTAACTTCGGATTGTTTTTTTAATCGGTAACCGCTGCAAAAATATCCCATTAATTGCAATACATTAATTGTGGGTATAATTCCCACACTACCAACCCAATTCCATTCCTCCAAGCAAACCATTCAGAAATAAAATGCCAAATGCTACAGTAAGACAGTAATCACGTCTGATTTTACGTATGAAGGCAGGATATATAGGGCCTGTAATGATCCTCAGAGCTAAATAATCCAAATTTTTTTTATCAACGTCTGCATTTGCATTTATAAAATGTGACTGATTCAGCGGACGTTTTCCACAAAGTTTTGGCAATTTGTTAAGTTTATGCACAGTGGTAAAACACTTGTGAAATGTGACCTTTTACCACATATTTAGCTGTACTTTGAGAGGAATAGGACAGTCACTTGGTGTGGATCCCATTTTTCAAATCGGTTGCATAAAATGAACGCCAATGAGCATAGCCTTCCCGCCGTTCTAATCACTTGAAAATTTTGAAATGCACCGAAGTGAGCAAGATGCACTTAACATACCCAACTGGTACAAAATTGGTAAAACCTTCCTCTCTTTTTTCGTATTTGTTCTTCTCTGATTACTTATTATATGATTATGCCTCAAAATCTCTCATTATAAAATTCAGTATTTGAGAAAAACAATCATGAATAGTAAGGACTGATAATCGCGTATTACTTCACCCGGTAATCTGAGTGATGCTTCTGTAGACGATTCACATGTTCACGAAAAGGCCCTTTCAAGTAAGATTCACACGCATATATTAGCACTAATACTGTAAACTGCTCTATCGCATAAACATGCCTCGCTAGAAGTTGACATAAATGTCGGATTTTGTGCACTTTGATAACGGATTAGTTTGTCTTGTAAATTTTTTTGTAGTATAGATTATAAACCGCGTTGTTACTCTTTTCCAGAAGAATGTCCACACCTTGGTTTAACGCTCGATTTAATTAAACATGCACCTAAATCTAGGCAAAGGCAAGTGATCATTTCAAGCCTTGAATATTTGTCAAAAGTTCCACGGTATTACTTTTAATAGACACAGCTTTCTTATTAAAAATGATTAACTGCATTTTATTAATTGCCATTGACCTACAAAAGCAAATATTTAAGCTAAGGTTATGCACAGTTCAGACAATTCATGGTATTTTGATCTAAGGCAGTATTACAAGCTAATTATTTTTAAAAAGGCCTGCGCCTTCCAATCTGCGTATTAGGTAAATACCACTCGTCCCTGTTAGGTTGAAGGTCTGAAGGTAAGAGCAGTGGCGAATTGTTTTATGAGTTGAAATGCATTAACGAATTTTCTGCCCCGCAAAGAAGCTTGACCTATTTGCTGTTGGAAAACCTTACAAATGCTGACAGTGCTCAAGGTTCAGCCTCAGAGGACCTGTTTAAATGGGCCAGGCATTGCAATCTTCTCAAGATAATCCTATCACCACTCTGTAAATACCTGATGCAGGTTCACATAAACAGAACACAAAGCAAGTATGTAACCATTGAGGGGATGCGTCCGTTCGTATAAAAGCAATGCAGACGAGCATTTTAAATACAGTAAATCGGTTTCATTGTTGCATTACCATAGCCAAGACAATATTAAGGATCAAAATCCCAACAGAAACTTTGGAATCGCGATCAGACGAATCTCCAGGATCTTTCGTAACCCCGGCATAGTTGTTGGCTACCTCCACTTTTGCGGGTTCATCTTTGGGATAGTCCGAGTTTGTTAGTTTTGCGTCGCCGACAATTCGTGGCTCTGGAGCGCCTTGTGACGTCTCCGGGCTTACCTTGGAAGGCGCTTCCATTTTCGGTGTTGCCGTTGTTGCACCGCGACCGAAAGCCAGATCAGTTTCGCGTTGAAGGTGTCTGTCGATATCGCTGGTCTGGATGTTCGTTTCTAGCATTAGTTTTTTCATAACTGAAACCCGCAAACCGGAGCCCGGAGTTGGGTCGTGGCAGTTATTCTCAAAACAGCACTGCCGACATGTCTATAATTGTGTTGCCAATAAATTAAGTTAGTTAGTTCTCATATTGTGGCAAAATATCGATTCTTTACTATGTGTGTATTTTCCCTAACAAAATCTAAGTATTTTCTTGTGGGGCGCAAATTACTTGTCTGCTAAGCCAAAGATCTGGATGCACAAACGTAAATGTGACATTTTAAGGAACTATGCGGTATTTCAGCAAGATGTTACGCTAACCAATCACTGTGAGCGACAATGGCGTTTTTCCATGATCAAACCCACATTAATAATAAGTTAGTAGAAATCAAATGATAGCTGAATGCTCATTATCATAACGAGTCGCAAGTCTTAAACACAACCAAATACATGGTACCTGAGCAGCAATTAATTTGGAACACTAGGAGGTAAATTCAAAATACAAGTAAGTAATCACTGTCTCCTAGCAACCTTAGCCTGTGTGTAATTAATTTTTTTAAAAATCACTGATTAATGGTCATCAAAAGAAGTATTATCGGAAACCTTACAACTAACTAAACAGGAGATTGCTGTTGAAGAGTACCTTTATTCCATCAATGAAGCCTGTGCACATCAGAAGCTCGTAGCCTTCTGGGCAGCTGTCGCGCGGTGAACACCCGGCCCGAAAATTGAAGAACTTTGTGGAATTCGGTGCAAAGAATACCTCCACCTATGGGTTGTAAAAAATAAAAAACAAGGCGGCGTGATAGAAGGTAGGGAAGTGACGAAAATCTCGAAAATTTCCAGATTAGTTTAATGTGACATTGTGTGGCATTTCACACCTCCGGGACTAGGCTTTTGTCGATGTGGGTAACTGAACCATTTGCGACAAATTGCTGCTTTGGTAGTTCCGTTCTCCTGTTAATTGGTCACAACTAAACGTGGGTGTTTTAAAAAGGATGGTGACCAATAGGAAATTGGGCGCATCATTTGAACCTTGCTGAGTAGTTTTAACACGGGAAATCGCAGCGTGGTCTGCAAGTCATGCTTGAACGTATGCATAATTAGGGCACTGAAGGTATTCGAGGGAAGAAAGGTGAATTAAAACAACAATAATAATGAGTCAACGGTCGATAACAGAAAAATCTCAAGAAACATATTTAGTTGATCGTCGTTTAACGAAGGTACCTCAACTACTATGCATTTTCATAAACTAGTAGGTTAGCAAAATTGTTTGGATGATAAATGAAAAACGCACAAGCAAAGATGGCACTGTCAGGCTCATATTTCTAAAATTAAGGTGGCATTTTGTGTAATGCGCTTGGTAGCTAAAAACCGGTAAAGATGTTTGTGGATTAGGGTAAATAATGCAAATGTTAAGTAGAAAATGTTCCTTTATGTTGGGGCGTTGTGTACATGTCACCACTAACTATATTTGACTGAACATCCGTTGATGCCAGCCACGGTCACTGAAAAACGATGCTGCATGCGTCATTAATCAATCATGCTCTGATTAAGTCAAACATTAGACAGGTTTAAGCCCTCGTACGGCGTGGTGTGATTCAGTGTACTTTATGGCCATAGCCTTGGATATCTAACAATTCCATCAATTTGTGTGCCCGCTTAATCGACCGATTCCCAGCATCGGATTACGAACTCGTGCGTACGATCCTGCGCACTTCTCCAAATTTTAAGTAAATACGACAACACACAACAACACAACCGAAGTAAGCAGTCTATTAATGAGATGTGCCTCGGCCCCTCCTCGTTTTCTCCACCACCTTCGTAGTCTGAGTGGACTTCGATCTAGGAATCAGGGCTTCTACAACAGGCAAGCCTGACTTGATCACCAAGTTCAGTGATTCTTTTGCACCAGGGGTTCTACAGGTGATGATCCAGATCAGATTATTTAGCCCAACTCGGTCCCTTAACCAATGTCTACTCTGTCGACAGCGTTTAGTCTTGGAAAATCTTAATAAACCCTCGGTAAAGGTTACGCCATGGGCTGACATAACGCGGGGATTTCGGCTAATATACAATGAGTGCATAATTAGCCCAGGATTGATGGATGGACTGTCCATTAGGTGAGATAAATCACTGTCATCCACACGTCAACAGGCTTTAAGCTGCTAACGGTAATCAGAATATGAAGGAAAGCAAATGGGTAAGCTTTACTGGATTGCAATAAATGCTTGAACAACCAATTCCATTTCTACAGAGTCTGTAATATGATATGTTATTTTATCGAGACTTTGAAATAACCGTCTGCGGGAGTGTACAGAGTACACTCCGAACCCATGGTTAACTCACAGCTTTCTCGTACATACAGGACTCATACATTGCTCCCTTATTTTCATCCTTAACCACCAATCGATTATTAGATCACTACAAACAACTTAAGATGGGCCTAGCGAGCGTTTCTTGATGAGTTGTAAAAGAGATCTCAGCACGTGGAGCCCGCAGCCGGGCTAACTTAACTCACACCAAAAAGAAGTGTCTTTTTAACAGGTCTTTTACCATGCAAGCTATCGTGTCTGGTTGGCAGGTCTCGTCGACAATGTTCTCAGACCGACAACCGTCCAGTTCGTCGTCACAATTACGGCAACTCACCACGGGATGCGGACCCTTAAAAAAGGATAAAACAGTAGGTGACTTAGACGGTGTCTTGCACGCGATAAACTACTAAATTGCCAGCACTAATTGGCCGTTTACATATCTACCATTGGCTATAAATTAGTGAGAAGCTGCTAGCAAACGCAAGAACAGCGTATCGTAGAAGCAAATGTGGTATAAATTTACTAAGTTTGGCACAAATAACTGAAAATCTATTAAGAAGACAATTACGGTGTTTTACTCCCTTACAGTGACGCCTGCCTTCTCTTCAAGATCTGTTTTGATTTCGCATACTTTTAATTACCGAGAGTTAAACCAATGTAAAATCACTTCTACGAACCCAACACCTCTGACAACCAGTGAAGTTGGATATGCCATATCGACATGGGTACCTCCGATGTGGACCGGTTTAAGCCACTAATTTTATTTCATATAAACGCCAAACGCGATCGCTACTCCCGCCTAAGTGATGGTGCCCAGCTCGTGGCAATGTGGCCGATATCTGCGTCACTGAAGGTAAACGTGTTAACTGCGCATTAAGGACTGGCGTCACCAGTGGTTAAGCTAGGGGAAATCGCTGCCACCACTGACAGTTTGACAACTCCATCTCCAGTTTGGTATGAGTTTAAATTCGTGTGTGCATGCCTGTGCGCTAAACATGCGTGCGGATCGACGACCAATAGGAAGCAAGGGGAACCAGGGGAGGACAAGGGAGAGGACACTGGCGTGAGGTGGAGAGATATCAACTACATTGGTCAAGTTAATTGAATTCAACTGTAATTTTTACTAGTGCGGTCATAAATCTGAGACAGACTGGTGTAGCAGAGTGCCTTTAACAGCTAGACAGCCAATCACACTCAAGCGAAAGGAGAAGATGCTATCCTAGACGACAGTTTTGTCCACGTGAAAGCACCTTCCATCGTCCAATCCACTGTTCTATCGAGATCAACGTCCATTTATTCAATTATGTTTAATTACCCCAGATTTTATGGCGTTTTACGTGAAATGCTAAATAAATTTGTTCAACTAATTCAAAATTTTCGTCTGACAAGTTTCATTTTTAAAACAGAACATCCTCCTATATGAATTATTTACATCCGGCACATTTTCCAGGGTAATCTTTGTGATTCACAAGCAATTTTCAGTTCCCTAATTCGATATGGTAAGCTTAACTTCACAGACTAAATAAGTGAAAGCTTGAAGAGTATGAAAAGGGAAGGAGTGATCCACAGATGGTATCCTTGCATTAGAACACCTTTTTTCTAAATCTTGCCCTAATATTTTCCCACAACTGTATTCAAAGGCATGGACTTGTTTAGCTACCGCTCAACACGTAAATAGGGTTTTTTTTATTTTATGGACAGTTTGTGCCCTCTCTTGTAGACGTCAGTGTTTGGCAAAGAGAACCAACGCGAGGCACAAATTTACGTCTCTAAAGGAAGCCACAAGTGAGAATTTCGTGTACAAAATGAAGCGGGCTGAATTCGCTAAGCTTTAAAGCGATTTGAAAGCAGGCACTCAATTAAATGCAATCTTGCATGCAAAAACTCACGTACTGGTCGTTCTAAAAACAAAGTTTTTCGTTATTAATGGAGGCGACAACAACTATAACATTTTTGACCCCAAATGTATGATTTCTTTCTTCTCTTCTCAACTAGTTTGGGCTAAAATGCGGGTTATTTGAAGCAAACTAAGGTAGCCCTTGAGGACCCATTCTGTTGATATCTGTCACGTCGGCTGTAACCAAGTAGGTGACAGTCCATCAGTCAAAATTACTCCAAGATCCGAACTTCCACGCCCTAGCAGCAGAAAAATGACCCAACCGCCAGGCAATGCATTCAGACTGACCAATCCTACATCAGTCACCTTGACATAGTTACCAGGGCTACGAGGTTGTGCGTGTTTTGCTAATCACAAGATTGAGAAAAAGTCAAAACTGTAAATCATTATGAGGCCGCTATCGCTTCCACGTGTATAGACGATTTGCTCAGGTTGACACATCGAGTTTAACACAATCAAAATGGGTCTACACTTGCTGCCCCTATTGGTTGTTTAAATTTACTTGAGGAAAGCAAATCATGGCCGCAATTTTAGCCTTAAACTTTGATAAACCTTTTAAGCAAAATAGTCCATAGAGATTATAAAATTCGCTTTTTATAAAATTTCATGATTTTTAAATTTTCTAAATGCCTCTCTGGAACTAGACGAGCATTTGCAGAAAGCAACTTTCGTGTTTTTAGTTCTACTTACTACTGTGGCATTTTCTGGCCTTGATTATCTATCGTCTCCAGATTAGGCCTCATTCACCTGAAAACACACTGATTTATTTGTGAAATTAAAAAAATCCCTCAACTTTGTCCAAAAGGGTAAGTTGATTGGTTGAGAAATTCGCAGTATTTGCCAACCAATGACGACGCACGTTTTATGGTAGTGGCTTAGAAGTAAACGCACGTCGTTTCATTGCCCAGACCAGGGTTCGATTCTCCGTATCTCTGAATTCACACTGGTTTTTACAGGGGAAACATCGCAAATCTAAACAGTTATCAAGGTCTAAACCTGCGCCCTTGATTGGTTCAAATGCCCGTGTGATGAGTGTTTACATAAATGGACCACCAGTCTCGATACAGTGTTACCACAATGTGTATGCCTTATTCTTTCTCCTCAACAGAATAAGCTTTTGATATAAAATAATATAAATGCCTTATTTGGTCCGCTGATGAGTAATAAACAGGGAAAACAAACACAAGCCTCTTTTTCAAGATCTGATCAATCTTATTTCAAGGTCGTGGAAAGTCTGAGATGGAAAATCGGCGGGAAGGTGCGTTCCGCTGTGCAAACGCAGTGGGGGGGGGGTAAAACCAAATTAAGAGAGAATACCGGAAAACGCACACCCCATGTGCTGTCAGTTGAAATCACCATGCTTTTTTGCTAATTTCAGCCACTCTCCATCGATTTATTTGGTTGTTCATCTTTGCAATTGAATACGTTCAAAGAAGCATCTTGTTTACAAGTTCAGTGGTAAACAAGCGCTACGCTACACGTGCCACCACACACGGACGTTTCTTTGACCTCATAAAGTACTCATCTTAGTTAATTCCACTGAATTAATTGCTGGAGCCCTGTCTAATAAAATTCACGGGGCTTGATCGAGTGCTTCTCCTTGGCGACATTCCAAGTTTCAAATTTAATCAATCCCGAATCAAATTTTTCAAACAAAACCAACGATTTTATGAATGAAAGTGAAGAGCAGTTTGCATATTTTTACGAAAATTTCAAGAATAGGTAAGTCTTTGAACTAGCACGGAAAGGATCTTGCAGTGGTACGGAAGTGGATTCGACAGTAATTAACCTATTGCCTTTTTTGCCTGATCACTACATTTGCAGGTTTATAAATTTAAAGACACATTTAGACAAAAACCGGAAACTCTTTGGTTCGGATGCATCGAAAATGAGCTTTAATTTGACCACCTAATACCAAGGACACTTGGCTGCTTTCGAATTATTTGTTGATAGATAATAGGAATTAATTCACACTATTTCATTTTGCTTTGTGTATAAGTAGTACACATGGAAGGAGGTAGTTAAGTGTGAGTTTGTGTGACGAAGAATTGGCAAGGAAGTAATTGGGCATTTGTCCCCAAGTCTATTGGTGGTCATTGACCTTTTTGGGGTGCATGCTACTTTCTACGGAGGTCCAACACTGGGTGGTAATATAATTTCATTAATGCACGCCGTGAGTACATAAATCTTCTATGAACATATTTACTTTACCAAATCGGTGTGCCTAAAAAAGGACACCGCCTATGTTAACGTCAAAAACGGTCATTATGTTATCGCTAATGTAACTTACTTTGAAATAATGTACTACCACGCTGATAAAAATCACGCACTCTGGACATCCAATAAAAATTTGAGTGGTGTTGCCACTAAATTTAGCAATAGATCTTATCCTTTAAAATTTTCTGTTCCCGACAGCTAAATTATCGCGCATGCTTATTCCTTCATTCCGGAAGCCTGCAATGATCACTTACATTTGAACAAATATAAACACACATTTAAAAATTGGAATTTGTTAGGACCGTAAAACGGCGTTTTACTGTTACCAGGGTGAATGAAGTTTATCAAAAGACTTTTGTCCGGCCTCGAGATGACCTTTGTAGTGAGGTTTCATCCTTCAAACTGCCAATTTTCTTGTCGACATCTTTAATTTCTGATAATGCTAGAACGACTTTGTAGCGCTTTAAAATCAAACAGTTTTCATTTGAATTTCGACATACGCTTAATAAAGAAGCATTGTTTCTCATTAATGACAAAATTTAAAGTTAAATAACCGTAGTTCCGGAATATTTTCGAATCACATGCGTTACTTAATTCCTGGCAGTTCGCAAACACTGACCTTTTTTATTGTCAGAAATATATTGCTAAGGTGCTTATCATAATCATTGTGATGGTATTTGTCTTCGTGGATCATTCCATTAATTAAAAAAGGCGTCTAATTACTGAAATAACTGTGATGGATTTAAAGGGAAGTACTTTTGAATTGTTCAGTTAATGTGCAGTGTGCAGCTACGAAGCAACTTAAATGCCGGAGGGGTTGTTACAAATCAGGAGTTACAAAATTGTCCCATAAATGTTTGTACCTTGGGTTCGATTTTTAATGAAAGAAAGCATTTCGAAGAAGCGAATTAGAGGCATGCGTAATTAACAAAGCCTACTTTCGTGATTTCATGTAACCTGAGTCTTGGCGAGATTCGTAATAATGTATAGCGGCGTTTGCGTGCAGCTCACGTCGGGATCACCAAAATTTGTAGTGGGCCCCGGTGCGGTTTTTGGGAACCACACCAGGGCCGACAATCTACGTTGACACGGCCCGACCGAAAGTAGAGCAGAACTGCAGATAACCAGTGGCTCAACCAATTTATTAAAGCAGTAGCGGAGTGTGTGTGTGTTGTGTACAGGATAGTAGATGCGTTTATATAGCTTTGCTAAGCAATGATCTCTGAACGCAGCTAGTTGGGTGGAGTTCATTCACGAATAATCGAATGAACTGTTTTCGCTTGTGCTTGCACACGGCGTTCGCTCACGATGGATAACTGTGCTCGCCACAAAT